CCTGCATTCACAGACCCGCGAAAACTTCTGAAGTTAGCACCAGCCCCTGCCCCCCCGGCGTCGTCAGCTACTGCCACACATACATTCTAATTCTGTAGGTATCACTTTTTTCCCATAAACCAACATTTTAACAGTCTTTTACAATCACCGACGATCAGCTGTTGCTGCCGTTTGATGCAGCCATGACAGACCATCCCCATAAGCTGCTCTCTGCCCTGTTAGCATGAGCTAACAAATCACAACATGACCTCATCCATACCATTTTGCTACTTGGGCAGAAGCCCCGCAACAGCAGTTAACATCCGACGCCGAGCTGTTAACATCGACATGGCTCAACTGTGTCATTAAACCTTGGGTAATGTTAGCCATTTGATGCTAACAGTTAGTGCTGTCACTGTGTGTGTGTGTGTGTGTGTGTGTGTGTGTGTGTGCGCGTGTGTGAATCAGTCCCAGGCACAGAGCTCCGGTCCAACAGCAACAGTTTGATAATAAACAGAGAGAGAAGGCTGAAGGCCAATTTCCACCAGATGCGTGTTGGTTGCGTCTGTGCTCCGGCACGGCAGCGGAGCCGATAGGATTCCATTCTAGTCAATGTGTGTGTTTCCACCGGCTGCGGCTGTGCTGCGTTCCGGCTCCGTCTCAGCTCCAGCACTCCGGAGCCCTCCGCAACAGATACGCAGGACTTCTATTTTTGCCGGACGCCGGAGCACAACGCAGCAATTCAGCACAGAGCAGATCGTGCAGGGCAGGAAGTGGTGCACAGAAACACGATAAAACAGCCGGTTAATTTTCAAAATAAAATACACAGTGTTAACGGCGGGTCATATTTCCCTGCACTACACCTTAAAAACGACATAATGGTCTGCCTGAAGTCAACAGGTCAGAGGTTTTCAGACGTCATTTCACCCCGTGAACACCATGGACGAGGAGATATTAATCATGCCAGTGCACCAAGATGTCTTCCGGCGGAGCTGCACCGCACCACACAGCAAACGCAGCCGGTGGGTGTTGACGGACGGCGGAGCACGCAGCGGATAACCAGTGCTGCCGTTCCGCAAAGGACACGCATCCAGTGGAAATCCGGCGTGAGTGAATTAATATGCTGCATGCAGCTCTACAATGAACTAAGATTTTACCCATTTCAAATTGTAAAATTTGGGGTAAAGTTGCAGTGACTGGACAAAATTGCAAGGTCACTCAGAATGCATGTGGACTGGCTGAATTTGCGTTAATTGCTGCAATCTGTGTAGTGTACTGTTCATGTGAATTTGTTGTTTTTTATGGCAAATTTCTTTGTCACCTTAGGACAAATAACCTCAAGCATTTCGCAAATTACAGCCAAAAAAGGGTAATGCTACAACCTGGAAAGTGTGAAATCACATTTAACTCCTTGCAGGTGACACTGTACCACCAACCGGCAGCTCCACAGATCAAAGACTTTCTGTCTGCTCCTCTGGTTGTTTGAAAAAGAAGAAAAAAAGGTTCTCGGACCAGAGCCGAGCCTCTGCAGGACTTTCAGTTTTTTCTACCCCGACGTCAGGAATGCACATAAGCCCTTCCCCTCTTCCCTCCACCTCCTCTACTTGCTTTCATAACCCAGCTCTCATTTGTTGGTTTAATTAGGCTTTACCTTGTTTGAGTCCACTGGGGCGAGAACTTCTGGGGAAGCAAGTGAAAGGGAAGGGCAGTGGAAAAGGGGGCAGTTCAACGGTTACACCACTGATTTGCCTGTAGAACAAGCATCTGACATGTAGACCATGGCGGTGGCAAAAACTGGGACTACAGGAACTGAGTAGCGTTGTTTTTCACTTCCTGCTTGTCAATCTTTCTGCTGATCTCCTGTTGAGCAAAGCACTGGAGCCTACTCCGAAACAAATGTTCGGTGATGTGACAAAGGTGGTGCTGAATGCTCAATGCAGTTGCATATTCAAACTGTGTATCTTTGGGCTGCATACAATGATTTAGACTATGGTGTGCTTCCAACTTTGAGGAAACACTTTGTGTTTGGCTCTCTCCTGTAAAGCCAGGTCCAAAAAGAAATGGTTTTCTACATTTGGTATGGAGGAACTTGACTAGTCTGCACAGAGCATTGACCAAAAACCCCATCTGACACCTTTAGGATGAGCTGGAACATCGACTGTGAGCCAGACCTGATCACCCAATATCACCACAGGACCTCAGTAATGCTCTTGTAGCTGAATGGGAGCAAATCCCTGCAGCCAGACTCCAACATCTGGTTCCCTAGACTGTCACAGCAGCAGATTAATGCTCCTAGTATTGGAACGACGTGCTTAACAATCACATGTGGGTGCCATGTTCAGGTGTCCACATACTTTGACCCACGTCAGTATCAGCAAAATTGGCAATCACACAAATAGAAATTACACCACATAAAATATAAACAGGATGTATTTTAGCTACCTTTCTTTAAAAAAACAAAATCAAAAAATAATTTGTGATGTGTTTTCATTTTCAGCTTTGTGATTTTTTTCAACATAGACAACATTATCGCATGTTTTTGTGTCTATATGACTAATGGAGATAACAATTTTTGAAACTGGTCCAGTGTTGAATAAAAGACCCCATGTATTTCCATTAAAGTAAGCCATTCCATTAAAGTATTACATACTTTTTGTTTAACTAGAAACAGCCCCGGAATTGCTAGCAGCAAACCCACCAGACTCCATTTAAATAAACACAAATTGTAGCTTGTATAGAGGCAGCATGTTTTAACATCTAACTGGGTGAATTAAGGGTTTATTTCAACCAAACAGAGCTGGTGATTGTTGGAACAATGAAAAGACAAACCAAGACTATTTTCTGTGAGTTTTATTTTGTTTCAGTCGAATTTGAATGAAGTCTATTTTATGATGATAAAATGATGTTTATTTTATTTCAATGGAGTCTGGTGGGTTTAGCTATGGTGATTTCAGGGGGTTCTACTTGAACAAAAAGGATCTTACAGCATTGTGGTTAAACACTTACAGTGATAATTTGAGCCTGTCAGTTGCAAAAACAAACGCTATTAGTACACTGACAGTGTACAATTCCCCATCACCATCACTTGGCAGCCTGTTTCGCAGCTGCCGGCTGCAGCGCTCTCAATTAATACTGCGCCGATTTCAAAAACTGTCTCCAACAGTCACTTAGGGTGTTCTCACACTTGGTCCTTTTCAGCCCTCTAAACAGACTCAGAGCAGTGACTCTGCATTTTTTGTGCATATGAGAACTCAGACCTCTCTGAAGTCAGACCACCTCACGAGTTGGTCTGAGTTCGGTTTGCTTCAAGTCCACTGTGCGGTTCACCTAACCTGCGCGCTCCAGGTTTGCTTAGCTCTTTGCCATTGTATTCAGCCCTCTAGGTCATATGCTGTTGGTGGAATGTAGAATACATCAAACAGTCTACAGCACAGAAACGCTAAGGTTTTCCTCCAATTTTAGGTTTATCGGAAATGGAGGAGCTTCATAACCGCACTGCAGTGACACGTCAAAGTCAAAACAAAACAAAACTATATCAATATTTTTATATTTTTATATGTAGACTATAGTGTGAACAGAAAGAGGACTGAGGCCCCATCAGGGCTGAAGTTGGCCAGAAAGAGAACTGAGTCCTTTTTTAAATGAAATGACAATGTGAACACAAAAAGAACTGAGTCCCTTTTCTGTTGGTCCACTTTTTGTTCCACTTTAAGGACGCATTCACACCAGGATAGTCTGGGGGACTTGGTTCGATTGGGCAGGGAATGCCGAAAAATTTCACACCGTCATTTGATTCGGTTCACTTTCACACTAGACTTTTCAAAGCGGACCAATCAGCCTGGACAACGTCACGCACTTACAACAGCTGCCTGAAACGACCGCTGACCAGGAAGATAAAATAGCTCATTGTTTAGCCAGGACCAAAAATGGAAATCCATCCCCTTCAGCCGGCAGCCAGCAACTGCTATAGTCCTCTGACCATACATCAATAAGCGCCTGCACCTCGTCACTACTCCACGTCTGCCCACGAGACATTTTCCAACTTTTTCTTTTTTACCTTTCCTTCTCCCGGTTCGCGCCATGGCTTTGTTGTTTTTTTACTCAGAATGCACTGCACTCTACGTCACGTCCTCTCTTTGGTTCGCTGGATAGACGTTTGCATTTCTCACTGTGAGTGAACTGCACCGGGGTTCACTTGCAAGTGAACCGAGACCCCCAGTTTTCAAGTGGACTAGGGTTCACTCGTTTGGTCCGCACCAGAGTTCGAATGAGCGTTCACACCACTCTGAATGAACCAAACTATCCGTGGAAGCGGACCAGGGTTCGTTTAAAGTGGACTAAATGACGCCAGTGTGAATGCGACCTCAGAGTACTGAGTTTGGTTTGTTTTACAAGGACTTTATGTGGGAACACCCTTAGGCACAAAAACATGGGAAGACAGGGTCCAAGTGGGCCACTCAGTTTGGAACTAGTTCTCGATTCCCATCACCATCTGATGCATTGTGGAAACTTTCTTTTCTCACATCTTACTGTATGGTTCTGCTTTTATGGTTTCTGTTTGTTCTCTCCGCCAAAATACCAGGAACTGTGGCTTAATCCTGCTCTCTTTCACTGGACAACACCTGAATAAATATCTGAATATGAGCATCAAACAAGACTTAATGTTGTTCTGCTGGGCTTTTTGTTCATGACGGAACCAGCGTTGTCTGCTTTTACCAATATGAACACTGTATTTTGGGGCTTTATGCGTCTACTGAGCTATAACGCAGCTTCTTCAGACTGACACACATTTTCTGCATCATGCTGGATGTGAGTGTCGGCTGATTCTAACAAGATGAAGACAACAGAAGTCACTGCTGCCCAAACACCTGCCGTTATTCAAACCAGACACTGCAGAACTGATGTCACTGATTGGTTTCTACTTAGACAGGTAGCTAATGACCACTCCGTGACATCAGCTGCTGCTGGATGATGGCGGCTCGTGTTTGAGCGCTGACTCACACACTGACACAAACTCTTACCAAGATACAGCGAGGCGTTCTCCTTCTTGACGTTGTCATCCAGGTAGGTGGGTCCCAGCGTGTAGATGGGCGTGGACCCCATGCCCACCAGGATCTGAGCGATAACGAACAGCGCCACGTACAGGTTGTGCTCGTTGCCCTCCTGGTCTCTGGGACAGGAAGTGATGTCGACACGGTCCCTGCCGCTGGCATTGCTGTTCATGCACAGGCCCTCGTTGGCAGAGGACGAGTTGACCTCCTGGATCTGGTAGGCCGGGGAGATGAAGTGAGGTAAGGAGAAGAGGGCGGCGCCCACAGCGATGAAGACCCCGCCTACCGCCAGCCAGCGAGGCCTCTGGCCCCGCCCGCCAAAGTAGCTGATGAAGACGACCACCAGGAGGCTCCCTATGTCGAAACAGCTGACGAGGAGGCCTGATTCTGAGCTCCTCAGGCTGTACCTCTTCTCGATGGTGGTGATGACACTGCTGAGGTAGCCCGACACCATGAGCGACTGGATGAACGTCAGGTAGCACATGCAGAACAGGAAGCAGCGGGAGTCCTGTAAAATAACGCTCAGGTACTTCCGACTGGGCAGATGAATCCGAGTCAGCCTGGAAGCAAAAAACCCCGGGGGCTTCCTTCTCGCCATGTTTTTATTCCTACGGATCTCCGTGTTCTCCATGTACGAGCTCGGCCTGTTCAGCGCCGACTTCCCCGGCTTGGGCAGGTAGTTTGTTCTTGTCGGGGACTCGGCCTGAAAGGACTCAGTCTTGGTCGGGAGCTGGATAAATTCTGCGCTCTCCTCTGCCGTTATGGACACAGAACCAGCCAGTAAGGTTTCCTCTTGGGGCGCTTCTTCATTTAAAATAGGCAAACTTTTAGATTTGAAGTCTGTACCTGGCTCCTCCAGCTCACTGGAAAACCCGTCCTCCTTCTGAAGGGACTCTGACAACTCCGCTTCCTCGTGGTCAGCCATTATTCCCAGTCAAACCCGCCCCAGTTCCAAGCCTACATCAACAGTTCAGGGGCTGCTGCCCATTACATGTATTATTAATAGGTACATCTACTCCCACAAACACAGTCTGGCACACAAAGAGGCCCAAAAAAGCAACAATGTCAACCAAAGGGAGAGTGGACTCACAGCTCCTGCTTATCAGCTGCGCAGGCTGGACAGCCTCTGTTTATCTTCTCATGCACACTTGCTTTCTGCCACCATCTAATCCGGAGGTGGAGACCGCTCAGGCCTCCTCAGCTTGCCCGGCGGAGCTCCGGGACCAGGGCTCCCTGCAGATGCACAACATTTCCACTTGATGGCTTCTCTCAGCAGGACGCTGCTGCTCCGTGGCAGGCAGGGATGAAATGAACTTGCAGAGCATGCGCCGCATCCCTGACACCCCTGCCAGTGAAGATCACACAGTCACAATGTCACTTCTTTTGGTACATTAGATGATGATGGCCCCCCCTCCCCCCCCCACCCCCGCCTTCTCCTTCTAACTCCTCCTCCCCAAGTCAAGGGCATCACCCCCCCTCCCGATGTTATCACCGCACCAGCTGTCTTCCCAGCGGGCTGTCATTGAGTGATCATATTTCTGTGTAAATCCCTGGAGATCTGTATGAAAAATAAAAAATCAACAGAAGCGACGAGTCCTCGAGGAAAACGAGCGTGAAACGGGAGAAGTCCGAGGGGTCTGGTGACGGGCTGCTCGGATAATAATGCCGCTCAGAAACACCGCAGTGTTCCGCTGCTCGTAGCTGCTGTTTTGAAAACACTGCGTCAAGCTGCAGACACAATCACACGGAAACCGGAAATGTACACTTCACAATAAAAGCGTAAAAAATCAGCACACAAAATATTTTAAGTGTGTGGCAAGATATACAAAAACACAATGCCTTGAATACTATGTTGTTCATTTATATTTCAAGAGAGAATCATATCATATCTAAGGGACTGTTCTTTACTTATCAGAGGAGAGGAGAAGCTGGATGTGACTTATTTTATTTTATTTTATTTTATTTATCTTCTTTTGACCCCCCACGAAGCTACAAATATTTTTTCTTGAGCCTCCCTGAGTGACTGGTGGAAAATGCACGACCCTCCCTCCACCATAATTAGTTATTAGATGTTTTAAACTTAACCTTTGACGTTTGAAAGTTAAAAATGAAGATGAAACCCTGGAGTTCAAAAAAGCTTTGGTTTTCACTCTTGTCATGCATGCTGGTTAGTCCATAAAAAGGATTTTGCAACTAACAGTCCCTAAGTAGGAGCAGTAGTCGTTGTACTGTTTTCCCACATTTGCCTTTACACTGGGACAGAGGTGGGGGAAATAATTGATACAGCATAGTATCGGGATATTTTGTGTGTCAATATTGTATTGATACAAAGATGCCACATATCAATTTTTTAAATAAAAAAAATTATTAATAATGCAAATACAAATAATGTTTTGTTAGCCTACCAGTATAATAAAATTAATTGGTGTTACAGTCCATTATATACATTTTGCTGCAATTAAAAATTGATTGACGTGAATTGAAAAAGAACTTAAACCTTTTTCTCATTAGAAAAAACATGATGATGAACTGATGAAGCCTCTTGGATAAGAGGTGAAACGTCTTCTAAGACAAAACCAAATCCAGTTGCGTTCGATTCAATTGCCTTGAGATAACATGATGATGAAGTTTATCCTTCATTTGCAGCTTCAAAAAGGTATTGCAATATCTCTTATCGCAATGCTCAGCTTATCTCAAACCATTAAAAAATCGCAATAATATTGTATTGTGAACTAAGTATCGTGATATTTATCCTACACGGAGAAAGTCACACCGAATCCCATTAATGATTTCGAAAAGTAAGAATATTTTCTGTGTAGCTCAATATAACATTTATATTTGATCAAACTTTTACAAAATGCTGAATCAAGGAAGTCTACTGATAAATTCGGCCTACATTTTATTTGCCACTGGTCAATTTTAAGTCAATTATTCAGGCTCAAACCAAGAGGATGCCCACTGTGGTAGCTTATGTTAGCTAGGTAGACCAAACGAGGACGAGGGCAACAATTTATTAACGTTGGCCTATTATTAAACCGCAAATAGATAATTAATATATGCCGAATATTCCAGTAAACAAAGATGCATTCAAAAAAAGTGTTAAATCTGCTCCGTGACGTGTAAAGCGTTACAGTTCAGCAAAACGTCAGTTCGCCAATGTTTTATAATGGAGTTTGGCGCTAGGCTTTACTTTGAAGAGGACAACCGGAAGTCCTTCTAACGTCCCAGCTAGCTGCACGCCTAGCAGCTAACCTGCAGAGATAATGTTTGCCGATGGAGAAAGAGACAACAACGATGGCGACACTGCGCTTCACTAACCTGACACTCCGAGGCGATGACACGCACCTTTAAATCTTCATGTCCGAGTTACACCACAATCTCCGAGAGGACAGGCGCTTACATTCAGACAAAAAAACACGTTCATGTTAAAAATCAGCTCCAGACATCTTCTCACAGAACACCGGAAACACTCCGAATTAAAAGCATAACAAGTGTCACTGCAGGAGATGCTGAGGTAACCCCCCTGTGCTTTATGCATGGCAACTTTATCTGTCCAGCATCTTTTAACAACATCAAAGTCAAAATATATATATATATATGTGAAACAAACAATATAAAAAAAACATAATTAGGGTTTAAGTATGAATTAGAGGATAAATAATGAGCCAAAAAAAGAATAACCAGAAAAAAAGTAGTCTGAACAGCTCTTTCTCACAATCACAATGCCTAAAAAGCCCAAATTTTATGGCAAATGTAATGCCACTATTTCATCATGTATACTGATCTTAATCATTGCATATTTTAAAGATGTTTTTTGGCATTTAATTTAATTGCCTTTAATGGACAGGACAGGTAAGCAGGGGGAGGGGGGGGGGGGTGACTGCAGCGAGGGGCCACAGGCTGGATTTGAACCTGAACTGCCTTGTACATGGGGCACCTGCTCTATCACTAAGCCACCGACGCCCCAATCAGTGCATATTTTAATGCCCACCTGTTAACTGTTAGTGAAGTATTGATAAGGAGAATTTAGCTTCTGTGAAAGTCTGTAAAAAGCCATTAATATTTAAATCACACTTATGTCACTACTCTTGTAATTAAGAATCATTAGACCTTATTATAATTTATATTTCATTTATTTATTGACACCTTTGCTGCAAGGCTGTTGCATCGTATGACATAGAATGCGATTCAGTAGGCGCTGTCATCGTACAGTCTGCATACATCAAACTTGATGTCTTAAGATTTAGGGGGATTTAGTGGCATCTAGTGGTGAGGATTGCAGATTGCAACCAGCTGAAACTTTTCCCGATTATAATTCCATCAGTGTTCATTGTTCAGGGTTTTTTTTTTAAAAGATTATTTTTTGGGCTTTTTTGCCTTTAATTGACAAGACAGTGTGAAATGGGGAGAGAGAGAGAGTGGGGGGATGACATGCAGCAAAGAGTTGCAAGGTGGAATCAAACCTGCAGCCGCTGCGGCGAGGCATTGCCTCTGTACGTGGGGCGCCGGCACTATCCACTACGCTACCGACGCCCCGTTCAGGGTTTCTTTTATCGTTCTTCTCCAAAACAAACAGACCAGGGGTCTCATTTATAAAACACTGCTTAAAGGGGGTGTATGGTTGTGCGGAGACCCTACGCACGTGGCTTACGCACGTTGCCTATGCCGTTGTGAGCATTTTTACTTCTGCGGTGGTGTGTCTGTGTCACTCTGCAGTTACACCTCCTAAACACTAGTCGGCGGTAGAGGTTTCTGTGAGGTGCTGTTAAGTTTAGTTGATTCAAAACACATTAAATATGGCTTAATAGAGACAATTTGAAAAACAAGTACACAGATTGGCTTCACTACAACTTGCAGCATTCACAGACAAACATTTGTGATAATCCGGACACATTTTCCCCACAAATACAACATGCTAACGTTATTAGCACAAGCCTATGGCATTTTACATCATATTTAGCCCAGCAACAAGCAATCTTTTCCTCGTATCATATTTATTATTTTTTAGCTTTTTCTAGCTTATTTAGTGTATTAATGGGAGTCAGCTGGCAGTCTTGTTGGCTTGGTTTGTGCTAGCATACTGCTCGGTAACTGCTGTCTGTGTGCATGTTATTGTCACCATGTTTGTCTTACCATGTTTTTATGTGTGTATTTTTGTGCCTCTATGCCACTGCAACCTAATTTGCCCTTTGGGACATTATAAAACTGAACTGAACTAAACTCTTCTCATATAAAACCAGGAACAACAGCAGCATTTAACAAAGGTAACAGTTTGGCTCCATAACGGCTCACAAGGTTCACTGACAAAACAACTGTCCTTTGCTAAACATGTTTTTTTAAACAAATACAACATTCTAACCTTATTAGCACAAGCTCATGGTATTTTACATTGTATTGATTAGCCTAGCGGCCGGCGATCTTTCCCTCTTCTCATATGAAACCTGGATAAATCCCGAAGTATAAATCCCTGAAGGATAAGTCACACTCAAGACTTAAAATGCTATTTTAGTGGAGGCCTTACTGTCTTCACAATTTATTGTTTCTTATCTGTGAACTAAAAGTAAATACAAGCTCCGTTTCCACTGAGGGAAATGGTGTCAGTATACAGCAACAGACAGGAGGTCTGCGTCACTGTGACGCGTAGCTACAGTTCTGGGGAGGTGCATGTATGGCTACAGCGGGTTACGACGTAGGCTCCAAATCGACGTGGAGCCTACATCGTAACCTACGCATCGATTCAACGCAGAACTATAAATTACGTGTTAGAAAATGTACGTACGGACGAAAGCCAAAAATGGTGTGCGCCAAGAAATATTCACCAGTTTCTACAATCATGTTCCAATCTCACTGTCTGCGCCACCTATCTCCTGTCTCCAAAACGTTCATAAGCACGGGTCAAAGTTTCTCCCATCAAGTCTGTTTTTATAGATCACAACTTGTGGGTGGGAAGTGCCTTACGCCTCCTTCGGGCCTCGATTTGTGCGTAGGGGAGAGCGGGGCATAACCTAACACAACAAATTGTGACACAGACTGTTAAGGTGGTTACACAGGGTCAATCCTTTCGTGCTTCCAGCCAGTTGACCACAATACTAACCAAACAGTGACCTGCGAAATTCCGAGCTGTTTACCGATTACTGAGCTGTCCGTGTAAGTCACTGAATCCAACCATACATCATCTTAACAACTGTCCTATTGCCTAAAACACAGCACAATTTTGAACCATGTAACCAACTCGCAGCAGGTGTTAACAAGGCTTGATGAAATTTCCACACAACAGGATTAGATGTAACGCAATGTTACAACTGAGCACTTCAAACTTATGTTCAGTTTGAACTAATGTCCTTATTTAAATGAGATATACTTTGTGTTTTTAATTTGTCAGGTATCTTATCGACAC